TACGCGCTGGCGGAGTATTTAATGTGGGCACCAACCCCTTTTCTCCCCATGAGGGGTAGCGTTCTTTCCATGGCCCCCGGGGGGGGGGGGGGGGCATGGCAGCCCTTCACGAGCACTAAGGTAAGGCAACGACAGGGTGCTGCTACGTGCCCGGGATTAGGTAGGTGCGAAAACCTGCCCTGGCTGGTCCCTAGAGAGGGGCAGGAGGGGGGGGGGGGGTGGCCGCCTAGGTACTGAAGGGCAACAGGGGCGCACAGGGTCTGCCCGACTGTTCGGGCGGGAAGGTTCTCGGAATTTGGGGAAGGAAGGAGTAGGCAAATCAGACCAGGATGACCGACACCACCGCAGGAACAGGAAACAATAGTAGAAAAAAATTAGTACCTCGTCAGGTGGGATGATGTGGATGCAGGGTTACAGCCAAGACTCAAGCCCCCCTCCAAGCCTCCAAGGTCTCCAGCCTTGGCATCAAGTCCGACAGACTGATCCATTCCAGAAATACTTGTACTCGGCAGTCGTGCCGTTCAGTTGAACTGATACGACGAGTCGACAAAGTGATACGACACATGCGCTGGTCGCAGCCACGACCAGCCCCAGAAACAGCTGCCAGCAGCACGCCGTGTTGGAAAAGAACCAACGCCGGCGCAAGCACAAGCACACTTCAGCTTCGAGAAGAATGCTTTCTTCTGTTGTTCTCCAAGTCTCATCTGTCGGCTCCATCCCCGGCCCTACCCTTGTTTCCTCGGCCTTCCTACCCAGGCCTCTGGACAACTTGGCGCGCGCTGGACCCTTCACCACCTACTCGGTGCGGGACCCCCAAATGGATGCTACCGTAGATGCCACGATGCCACCCGCTACTCGGTTGAAAAAAGATACCTCTGAACAGCATGTCGACGTCGGCTTGCCAGGGACCTATCACTCGCAGCTTCAGGGATGATGACTTTCTACACCGTGGGCCTGGTCTCAGGGGTCAGGAGTGGAGGAGGATGGAGGCATGTACCAAGAGCCTTCAATATCCTTCGCGGACACGAACTCCGGGCAGCACTACATAGCAAACGGAACGGCGATCTTTCTCTTCAATCTAGCCTAGCCACATCCTTCGCCTGGACGCCTCGAAATCCAGAACGCCGCCCGCCGCCCGCCGCCCGCCCCCCCCTTTCCTCTTTCCCGTCACCAGCACGGGGCGTGCCGCGTCAGAGGAAAAACAGCTGAGAAGAAGAAACGCTGCGCACACACTTCGGGCTTCGTGAGACCCACCGATCAAGTCACACACGTCAGCCCCACGTCCAAGGACCAGTAGGCCATTGTTGCTCTTCCGAGGGGCAGCTGGCAGAGAGATCCATCATCATGGATAGGTTGGATATGGATAGGTTGGATCAGAGAACCCGAAAGCCGCCATTCCATCGTCCGTCATCCATTCCGGGGCAGGCAAGTGACACCTCTCTGCTGATGGCTGGGCCAACTACCATGTATTCCCCCCCCGGGCACCGGGGCGATACCAAAACCCCCTGGCCATGAGACCTCCAAAACCAGGGCTCGGGATATCACCGTTCAATCTTTCACACTTAATCCCCGGGACCCCATTACACACAGACTCTCGCCCCCCCGTTCCCAACGTGGGCAAACCTCGCAAGTCATTCCCGATATCCAGCCACCAGGTCACCTCGTTCCATGGCCCAGAGAACACCTAGAAGCACACACGACGTATGCACATCAAGGGCACAGCGCCAGCAAGCTAGCAGACTAGCAGTAGGCACGGTTGGGTCACACAAGGCTTCCCCCCATCCATCTGATCCTCCCCCGTCATCCTTCGTCCCATGCATGCCGCCCCCAGCTTGCTGACAACCAAGACCCGTGTGCCTGAGTGACCGCCAGGCACAGGAGCCAGGAACTTGGCCTCCGATGTCTCGCCTCCCACCAACACTGGGAAAGGGGGTGGGCTTCAACGTCGCGTTTTGTCTCATCTGTACGGCTACCCGCCCCATTCACCGTGTGCAAGAGCTATCCACCTGTGGATCAGAGCCGTCCTTCGAGCCCTCCAAGTTAAGTGTCTCATCCCACGCCACTGGCAGATCTCACAGTGGGTAAGCTCCTGTCGCCTCATCTCACGATCCTCCTCGTCAAAAAGGTGGTGGGTAACGAAGCACTGCTCGGGACAGTTGGTTGCCCCGCTCAGACTGCCGATCGTCTTTAGCACCAAGCAAGATCCAGATCCACGCCCCATTTGCGCTCGTCGAGTGAAATAGATCCCATGTCACATGGGATGAAGATGCGGCTGACGAAATCGCCAATGCGAGCTGATGACCGCTTTGCGTGGTGAATTTCGGGGTTGCAACCAGAGCAATTTAGCCTGTCATCAAGCAAACCCCCTTGATGCTTACCGTGTAAATCACGACAGTACTTTGCAATCACCTGGTCTCGGAACGAGGGAGAAAATAATCATATGCGGAAATGAGTATTGGGGCCATTCCGATCCTGGGTTCAAGACGCCATAACATATACC